CCTGACACGGGGAGAGGTACTTGAAGATTCCCTCGAATGCAATGTGCTCTGCAATGCATTGTGCCAGCTGTTCATGATGTGCTGCCACATCAGCAAGAGGGAAGAAGAGTGAATGGATCAAAACTTCTCTGGACACTGGGGACTCTGCTGTTGTGTATTCTAAGAGTTAACTTGCTCAGATTGAATCACAAACACCCATTTTTACTGCCTGTTTGAAGAGATGCATCACTGGCAGCAGAAAGAACCCATCAGAAATTGCAGTGTTTTCACACTTCTAATGGGAACACCCACTCAGTGAACTGAAACACCACAAAGCAGCCGGGTGTTTTTCTAACCCCACAGATACAGATGCTCGATGGAGCACGTTGACATTTGGATCCTGTGCTTTTCTGGCCACCCATACCCATGTTCAGAAAACCAGGGGCAGCACAGACTGACACTGCACATGACATCAACACAGATGTAGAATTTTATTGCAAACATCCGTCCCGACACTCACCTCCTGCCAATTTGCACTTCCTGTCATGACAAGTACAGCAAAAAATGGAATATTCTAAGTATTTATTAAGTTAACACACAAAGAATATCTAGCACTTTAATGGCTGGTGTCCACATTAATGATGCATCTTTCACTACATCAGTGAACCTGTGTATTAATTCTAATTAAAAGATAGATGCAATTTTGCTTATCAATAAAGGGGACACACAAAGGCTTTTGCAGCCTGACTGCAGAGCACTCAAAAAACTGGTCAGGTGGTTGAATAAAAGAATCCAGCTCTTTTATAAAACCAAATTCCAGTATCTGCCTAAACAAAGCAACAGGAAGATAGGAGAGGTCCTTTGCTTAGTGAAACAGAAGGAAATAAGACATAGAAAAGCCTTCCCAAATATCTTTTAAATAATATGACTTTTACACAGCTGTAAAGGCTATGTCTGCAGTGGGCAGAAGACGCCCACTTATGTTTCCCTCTCAAGAAAGTCAAGATTTCTCTGGGTCAGATGCCTGAAGTGGTAAAATTAATGCTATGTTGTAAACATCTGCTCAGCTAAATCTTTGGGCTGAATTCCCACCCATTAATCACATTGTATTTACAAAAATTCTATTCCACAGCAATTGTCAAATGTTGCTAACTAGGTATGTGCTCAGGACTATTTAATATTGCACTTTCCTGACCCACTGAAATGCTTTTTGTTTTAGCCCTAGAAAAAAACTAGACTAGACTACAACACTGGAAGTACCTACCTCAAGGAAACACCTGCTAAATTAATGAAAATCATTAAGATTTTGGTGAAGTTTACCCACTCGTTCCTACTATTATCTCCTTTTGCTATTGTCATTAAAAACTGCTTTCCTAATGTCAAGAGCTGCTTGTGGTCTTTAGCCAGTAAGGGTTTCAAATAGATACATTATCACAAAACTTGGGTAAGAAGATTTCAGGAACATTTAATGTTTTTAGAAACCAGATGAAACCTCATATCCATTGAAATGTTCTTCCTCTTGAGGACATGAAATTCTGGGTTCACATGCAATCAGCTACACTAACTACAGGTAATCTTAGACATTTCAAATGATAATTACACCAAAGAAATCTTAATTTTTGTAGCTACCACTGCTATTTTTTTCAAGACTAATTACCAGCTTTATTGGCCTGTGGTCATGGTATGGCAGAAGTCAGAAGGAGAAATGAACATTTAACAGATTGAATGGTGAACCAAAAACCACAAAGTGAACATTTCTGCTTTATGAAACGGCTGCACAAACATGCTGCTGTTTATCTACTGATGTTGTGGTTTACCCACAGCTAATGGGGTGTTCCCATTAATTTCTTGCCTTTAAGGAACTCATCACACCCAGGCTGATTAAAGGCACATTGTGAAGGGTTAAAAGCTTCCTTCTTCCTTCAATTTTTGGTCCCAGCTGCAAAAATTCTTCTGCAGAATTGTATGTTTGAAGCTTAATTGGTCCCGTTGATTCCAGCAGGACCAGAGCTGTCATAAGCAAGCAAATTTCCCTGAACAGGATTCTCATTTCAGGACTTTTCAAAAAAAAACCTCTTTCCCTCTGAGAAAAAATAACCTTGAAACAATAAAGCAGGGCTTATGAACAACTACACACTTAAAGCAGGACCTATGTCTTGTGACAGCAGTCTCCAGTCAGAAAACCTGCTTCAGTTCCCAGATTCCAAGGGAAAAATTAGGAAATAAAAAGCATACTTTTACTTCCAGATCTGAAAGCCCCCCCAGACTGTGAGCACTTCAGCTACACCTTATTACAGTGACAGGACTTCATTAGTGCTGCAGTGAGAGGAAACAGCATTTTCCCTTCCCCTCAGGCAGGGCTGTTCCCTGTTCCCTCCTCCCTGCGCGTCACTTACCGGGCATAGGAGTAGTCCAGGCTGGCCTGGTCGATGCGGTTCCTCAGGATCCCGATGTCAGCAGACACCATGTCATCCAGAGCCTGCAGCTCCTTCTGAATCCTCTTCAGTTTCACTGTTTCAGCTTGAGTTCTTTTGGATCTGCAAAAGGAAGGTGATTTTTGTTGTTGTTGTTGCTTTAATTTCCTTTTCCAGCCTCTCTTCTTGATGCACCGAGCCCCATTTCACTTGCAGAGCAACTGACTTCTTTAGGACCTATTCAGAAGGTTTCTCCTTTATGGTGTAGGGCTTTTGATCTTTGTTAGCATCCACAGGGATCTAAAATGCCTGCTATTAAAGGACTATGGCAAAATTACGTAATGACTATAATCAAAGTGCCTAAAATGGATTGTGTTTCTTCACTGTGGAAACACACAAGAAGCTGCTGTATCTAAGTAGTTCTCAGTGTAAGGAAACAGGAAATGGCTTGGGGGGAAAGTGAGAGGGGGAAGGGTTTTTAGCCCTGCAAATATCCCCTTTCAAAGAAGCCCAGTTAGTAGGGGCCAAAAAGTCACCTAACCTAAGCTTGATTTCCATTTTGTAAAATTATTCCCAAAAGGCCCAGCCAAATCCCAATGAAGTGAATGGAAAGTTTTACATCAAACACAAAGGATTTCAATCAAGCCTTATGCAACTTTTTTCAACTACACCATTCATTCCTAAGTCCTGAAAACAAAATGTTACTCAGGGCAACAAGCTTTGATGGATTTCACTCCCAAGCAAGCCAAGTGACTTTCCACAAGCTTTTACATCATGTCACTTTGCCATCATTCATCATCACCAGCAAAATGATGCTTCACAGCCACTGCTCTACACCCAAAGCAGGTCCCTGAAAGCAAGACTAGGTGTGCAGGCAGTGCCAGCATCTCTCATTTGACCACCTGATGCAGATGGAAGGACACAGACGTCCTGTGGTATTGCTGGGAGCCTGAGGAAGGCCTTTGAGTGACAGAAATAACTCCTCAGCTGTCACCTTCCTTGTCTTGTCTCTCCTCAGGCTTTGTTTCCAGGAGGAAGAACCAAACCTGGTGGCCACACCCATGTTTGATGTCCTACAGTGACTGAGAATAAAGGTGCTTGTGTTTTATCCCTGCCTGGCAAAGGAAAATGAAATTTTCAGGACTGCAGCACAGTACAGGCTGTGCTCACCTGTGCTACCCAAGGGCTCTGATGGGCAAAACATAACACAGGCCTTGGAGAGCACTGCAAACCCAAAAACTTCACATCACTGTCCTTGATCCGGTGTTACCAGATGTTCCAACATCATTCTACAAACTTTGCCTTCCCTGGAGTCTTAAACTACCTTGGTGCCATAAAGCCTGGTCCTCTGAAAAGCAGGAGTTAACAACTGTGAGAATATGTGCAATTTTATAATTTCTAGTCATCTAGTGGTAAAACAGTACCTTCTTAAAGCTGATCATCTTCTCTTTTCAACATTTTCACACACTAATGAACCGAAAGTCCAAACAGAAATAGCTTTTTCTCACAGGTTACAAATCAAATAAACTTCCCTTACATTCAGCAAAAACAAATCAGGACCAGAACACGTACAAGCATCTGAGCACCCCAACTTCCAAACATGACCTCACTAACAAATTTAAGCACTTCAGCTAATCCTCCAGTTGTGTAATCACTTTTCCATCTGCACACAGAGCTGCAGCCTGGGAAGTGTGAAAAGCTTAGTCACAACTTCCTGGTCAGAACTTGTCATCCCAGGGAAACATCCATCACAGCTGCTCACAGAGCACAGAGAAGAGAAAAGAGGGAAATTTAATTCAAGATATGAAACTGGTTGCAGATGAAGAGTAAGCCCCTTGCCCAGGCTCAGCCCCACCTCTCAGCAATGGCTCTGGCCAGGAGTGCCTTCTTGCGTTTATTCTTCTCTTCTATCAGCCGCTGCTCCTGCTGGAGGATTTCCCATCGGGATTTTTCCTGCCTGCTCATTGACAAGAACATCAAAATTAATAGAAAGTTCATTTCTTTCCCTGCTGCTCATATTGCAACACAAACATTCACCATCATATATTCTGGAGCTTAGTTCTGAGGAAGGATCATCTGCAAGAAGCCATTCAGACCAATAAAACATTTCCAGATGAAATCTACTGATCAGAACTAAAATCTGCATAACCAAATAAGTTGCATGGAGCACTTTTTCAGAAATAGGTGGGATTTTTTCATTTAAAGGATGTGCTTCCCTATCAGGGAGAAGCAGTTGCAAGTTTCTTACTGGCTCCTACAAGTGGCCATCTGCTCAGTCTGCCAACATAGCCTCTTTTTTGGAAATGTTTTTTCCTATAAAACAGATTCTTTTGCAGGTCTGCTTTTCAGTAAAGCTCCCACATAATTAAATGGATACAAATGAAAGGTTGGTATGAGTTATAATGAAAACAAGCAGCAAGGAAGAGCAAAAATTCACTTTTGCCACCAGTGAAAGACTGATCTTGATTTCATTTCCTAGGCCACATCTCCTAAGAGATACAATCATCCCAAAGGATGGAAGGCCAGGTCTCAGGTGAGGGGGCACAACCTGTGGCAGGATTTAGGAGAAACAAAGAACTGTTTGCTGCTTTCCACCCCACTGTGTTCTTCGTGCCCTCACACAAGGAGCCCAAACTTAAAAATACCCAAATAACTCAGCTATTAACAAACATTTCTGCACATCTCTTCAGATTTGTCCTCATCACCTCACATACAGAAATATTTTTAGTAAAATTTAAATTCAAGGATCCAGGCTGAGAAGAATCCAGCAGATTCAGGAGGTGAATGTTGCAGCTCAATGTCACTTGCTTCCACCAGTGTGAAAAAATTCTCAGCAAAGCTCCAGCTGTTTTCTCCCCAGACGGTGCCTGTGCTTTTCCCACCACAAAAATGAGATGAACAGCCAGTACTAGTGCTGAGCTGCACCCACAGGAGGAATTTGAGTTCTCAAAGTGCAGCTGCCCTGGTGCAGGGGGTGCAGGCAGATGCTCCCAGCCCGGAGCTGGGCAAGGAAATCAAAGCCGCAGCCTCTCAAGGCCCATCTCAGCAAAAGAGAACCTCCAGGATCCTTCTGAGTTTAGAATTTGAGAGAAGCCACGTGCTGCTTCTCCACACAGATGCTGCCTTGTAGAAAATGGAATAATTTAATCTCTCAGAGCTTCCTATCAGGCACACAAAAGTTGACTTCACAAGCAAAGAATGAATCAATACAGAATAACAAACCCCACCCCTTGATTTTACCGACTTACTAACAATTCCACTTTCTTTCTCTCCACTTGGCTGTTGGGCTTTGTAGGGCGGGGCTGGGCACTGTCCCTGCCATTACAAGACTCTGCCGGTGTCACTCCCTCCTGCTGCTCTTGGCTGTCCCTTTGCCTCTGATCCCCAGCTGCCGGCTCGGGCTGCTGGGGGTGACACGGTTTGGGTTGTGGTGGAGAAAGAAGCTGTTCTGGAGTGACAGAGGCTGCTCCTCCCTGCAGCCCCAGCCTCTGGCTTTGCTGCTGGAGGGCTTTTTCCCGTTGTGATTGCTTCCGAGTCTTGGGCACAGCCTGGGGACGAGGCTGCTGCTGCTGCTGCTGCTGCGGCGGAGAGGGTTCGTACAAATCTGTCAGTGGAGAAACAGGATTAAAACCAAACCTCAGTGTATCAAAGACAGGCTCTGGCAGAGCTGTTCTGGGCAAGCAAAACCCAAAATAACAGGAAGGCAATGTGGGGGAAACCTCAGGAAGCTGGAAATGTTTTGATAGTCTAAGATTCAGGAATTTTCAAGGATACTGGTATCCCTAAGTGAGTATGAGGCCTGGACTGCAGGCCTAAAAGAGAAACCATAGATGAGAGTGAGGTGACTCTTGGGATAATGGTGACGAGGCAGATCTAGGGCTAAGGAAGGGTCCCGGCCAGCCTGGTGGGCAAACTGAGGTTATGAAGTGAAGAATGGGGAAGAACGAGGTGACACGCGGGCAAAGAGGAGGCTGGGCACATGAGGAGGGTGTTGGGCGGAGATCTGCGTGCAGGACGAGGAGCTGGAGAGCCGGGGATTTTGGGGATTTTTGGCAGAGAGAGGAGCTGGATGAGGGGAGCGGGGAGAGATGGGGCTGGATGGGAGGGACCGAGGGGCTGCCCGCGATAGCGAAGGCGTTGGATGCGGGGATGGAGCAGCTGAGCTGAGGGGATGGACAGAGGTGCAGGGGCTGAGGGAAGGGTTAGAGGTATGGATAGAGGGGCTGAGGGGAGGGAGTGGGGTGTGGGTG